TGTGAGGTACTGAAGTTGAAAACATCTTGCTTATTCCTCACAGGAAGCCTGTGGTCAGAATGATAACCGAGTACAGATCTTCCAAGTTTCAATCTGGAATTTTGAACAAAAGGTCTTATGTCCTCACTGAATAATGTGTGCTAATACTTTGGAGATGCCTTTTAAAAAAAAAAAAAAGTAGACAAAGCAGCTTGCTTATGTGCTACTGATGCTTAAAACGACAGACATTTATTTCTGTATCTATGGACAGAATTTTCATCAAAATGCATACCTCACAGGAACAAGAACATAGTAAATGATGGTATGACAACCTTCTCAGTAAAAGCTTCAGGCTTGATCCTACATTGTTCAGTTATGTAGTGCTCTCCAACAAGCAAATTTAGAAGCATCCGGGCAGACCTGATGCTGAACAACAAAGAGCCCTGCAGACTGACCGTGGAGCTCCTCTTGGCTAGTAGCCGTACAAGGACGAAGAAGGGAGCACATAGCAAAGCTTCTCAACTGTACACAGCGGATTATACTCAAGGCCATTTTTCTTCAGAATACTATTGTTTGGTACACCTCTTTCCATTTTTTCTTTGCTTAGCATCCTCAAGAACATGGGAATGAGAACACAGGGGGCTTGAGACTTAGATCAACGGAAAAAAGGCCACAGCTGGTCTGTAAACTAACTGTACACACACGCAGCCAACTTGTGTTGCAGTGTTACAGCTCTGTGCTCTCTGCTGCACACTCTTGACCTAATCCAAACCTAAAAGAAGCCAGTGGAAATCTTTCCATTGACTTTTAACAGGCTTTCGATCAGGGCTCAGGCAAGGGCCTGCCTGGATTAAAGTCTTGCTTTGAATGAGGTAAAGAGAGCTCAAATTACAAACCATCATTACTAATTACAATATATACTATAGAATATTTACTAATATACTTTAATGTACGGTCTTAGATAATGTTCTTTGGAGATTTCCATTAATTGTCTCTATGATGGTTCTTGTAATGTTTGTTTAGCAAGAATTAATTTGGTTCTTATATGGCACAGTACGTGGAAAAAACCCTCTGTAATCCTTTTAACTGACTTTAAATGCTCATTTGAATATAATTATTTTAAAGGATTAATCAAAAGTATTTTTTAAGTTAGCAACAAATTAAAAGTTTAGGAAAAAACAGAGGTTATTTTATTGTCTTTACATCTCTCCTTAAAATCATATTAATTTTCCTTTCCAACACTATTTTATTGTATTAAAATATAATCATGCTAGAAAAATTTCTCATTATGTTAGCAAAAATGAATACAAGGTAGATAGTATACTAACACAATGACTGTAATCTGCTAATACAATAAGGCCTTCCTATTATGTTTAAACAAGAATTAAGTTCTTGATCGTTTCGACATATTTCCAAAACACTGTCTCAAAAGGATAAAATGCAGCATATTTCCATGCTCAAGGAAAAGTTTCTGATGCCCTCATTTACTGCTAAAAACCAAGAAACAGCTAATAATGCATAATTTATGTTGTAGCAGATTCCATTTCTGTACTAAAACGCTGTGTATATTTTGTGGAAATAAGCATGTACATGATTATTTATGAGTAGCTAAACACGGCTTCAAGAATATGTCTGAGGAAATAGTTCAGGCCTCCACTGTGTCCTGAAGCCCAACAATCTAACGTCTCTCCAGTCTGAAGAACAGAATTCCACTGCGGGGACCAGGCATATACACAGGGGTTAGCTTTTCTGGTACCCGACAAATTTGACTACTTCTGTTACAGTTACTCATTAAGAGAGTGCTTCAAAAAGAACCCAAGCAATGCTGAGTTTTGTAGATCATAATCAATACTTTATACCCAGAAACTAGCAGCATGCTCTCTTTCAGTGCTGCTACATGAAAACAAGCAAAGGTATGGAAAAACACTCTGTTCAGGCTTGATAGGGTGCACACTTGCCAAATGTGGTGGTATGAGGAGTCCACCCCAAACAGTACCAGGACCAAAAATAGCACCACAAGCACAGATTGGTTACCCAAATGGATACAGGACATCCTCTTCACAAGCAAACTTGTTTAAGACTACCTCAGGACAGCATGAATACTCTGTTACTCTACAGCAACAACAGAAAGACCAAGCCCCAGAGCCGCTGTTTTCAGTTCCTGAGCAGACCGTGTGCTTTGCTCTAGAGAGATTCCCACAGCAGGAACCTCATATTCCTGTTGCCACAAGACAATACATCTGACAAAGTAAACTATAACAACTGGGACTCAAAGGAGTATCTGTAAATATCCAATAGCAGAAGGTAGGGAACAGAGGTACAGAGAAAATCACCTAGAACCTGAAAATTCATAGAGATCCTGAAAGATTAAAATTAAACTTGATGTGACACCTAATTGCAGTAGGCCTTCCTTCTAAAGTTCAAGTAGTTTCTAATAACAGCATCAAAATATCTAACCTGTAATTACTGTGTTGCACTAGTTTGATGTTCCATGGGAATCTGAGAGGCATGACTCATTTCATTCGTAAGAGTCATTGTTTGGCAGGTCTCCAGGACAGGAATTCAAGTAAGAAAGGAAGTTAGATCAGTTGACCAAAAGGAAATAAATCAGATCATATGAATATTTGCTCGATAGGGAACAGAAAGTTGGCATGAGAAGAATTCGACACTAAATCAAGTTTTGGGCACAATAGCAGCTCTCACAAATTTAATGTAGGGACATCAGTGTTGGTCACAAGGGTGTGCTGCCTTCTCCTTTCTTCCCTGGATAAAAAGACTCTACACTTAAGTTTCAACAAAAAAACAGTAAGTTGCAAATTCTGTTAATAGCCAACAATCTCTTTTGTAGCTTCAGCAGTCACTGACCTTTTGAATACAAAGGCTTCTGGATTGTTGAAAGGCAGGGAGGAGCTCTTTCCACCTTTTTTCTCTTGCGAAGAACCTGTGAGAAGTCAGAATTTGTTGCAGGAGAACCAGAAATTATCCTGAAATGTGGCTTTTTAAATTACAAATACAATGAACTATAAAATGAAATGCGGGTGAACATTTGAGTACCTCATTTGTGTGCATAGTGCACAGTTGTGCCACGAATTGGCTCATGGATTCCAAATAAGGAGCACAATGTTTGGATACAAATTGTATCATGAAATTAAACTTGCCTACTGCAAATGCATCCCTACCAAACATATAAATTTACAGGTCATAAAGATGTCACACATTCTTCAATTTTTGGAGTGTTCTCAAATTAGCTTACATTAAGAAAATATCATGCAGCCTAATGGTTTAACATCTTACTAGACCAAATGACAATGAATATCTAATACCAATACATTTATCAATTACCACTTATCTGTATACCAAATACAATCAATTATTAAATGTAAATAAAATAAATCTCTTAAAAATTGATTTCCCAGATGAGAGGAAAATCTAGTTAGCAAGCTGAGTGTGAAATTTACATGTAGTTCATGAAAAAGTGATTACTTACGGAATTAATTGATTTTTGAAATGAATCTGAGGATGTAAAATTATGGCATAAAAAGGAAATGAATCTGAAGATCTGTTTTATGTCCATGAGAAAGTGTTCATTTTTCCTTCCATGCACAGCCAATCCCAGAAGATGTAATCCACCAAGAAATCCCTACTCAAAGCCATATTATCCCTATTATCCATCTATCTTCATAACACTTAAACTCTCTTCCCTCATAGCTGAACTGTTTGTCCACAGATGGGTTGTGTCCTGATTTGGTGTCAGCAATTCCTTTCTCTGAAGTCTTGATACTCAGATTTAGTTTTCAACCTGTCAAATCGTCACTCAAAAATGCATCTTCTTACAAACGATGTCAGTCATGAAACCTCCCACCTTTCAGATGCATTTCAGCACTAGTGATGTCAGCCCTACCCCTTCACCTTTTTCTTGCAGTTTCTCTGTGCCTCCCTTCCTGTTGCTCTTTACATGCAAGATGTTCTTGCTGAATCATATTCAGGCGGCTCGATACTTGTTTGTTTCATCTGTCTCACCTATGAAAGCTAAAAGGATGAGAAGGTATAAGAGAATCTTACAAATAAGCAAGTGCTTTACTGAATTCTCTGCATAGACTTGCTGTTTACCTTGGAAGTGCCTAGCACAGTGCTATTTGGTTCAGAATTCCCATTAATTTTGTTAAGAGCTTTTCCACATTCTTGGAGGAGTTTAAGGAAAATGTGAGCTCTGATGCTGCAAGACGATCCACAACGAACAAACTTGCAAGATCTGAGACTGGTGTTTTTGAGGTTTTCTCTTTACCACACTAATCCGAGGCACTAGTGGGAACTTCAGAAAGATTTTTCCATCCTTGAAGAGTAAGACTGCTGATGCTAGTCATTCTGTCCCACCATAAACACCTAGGTATTGTGTAACTTGCAAGGTTTACTTTTGGAGTAGACACCATACTCCTTTATGGCAACTAGGATTGCTGTAAAACTTTTCACCTGCCTTTCTTCCAGAGCACTGCTGTTAATTCTGACAAAACCACTTGAGCTGCACGTGCTGGGCCGTCAGGCCCTTCTGGAGCCCTTCCTGGCTGCCAGGAAGTTGCTCTGTTCCCCCAGAGCTGCCTCCCTGTGAGGAGGGGGCCTGTGGGGGTACAGGCCCCCGGGAAGAAGCCCCTACCCGCGAAGGGAGCACCTCTTCCCCTGGGGACGGGGCGGACTCCCTCGCCCCGGCCCCGGCCCTGGCCCCGCCCCCGCCCGGCCTGAAACAGGCCCGGGGGGGATGGCGGGGCTGTAGCGAGGGGAGGTGGGGGGGCGTGGGCTGCCCGGAGGCGCCGTCGGGCCTGCGGGGGCTGCCGGGACTGGGGGTGCCGTCTGCCTTCCGCCTTCCCCGACCTGGCTTGAAGCAGCGTTTCGCGTAGCGTCGCTTCGATTCGTCCAGAACGGGCTGCCCTCGCCTCGCCGGCCTGCCCCCTTCCCCGCGCGGGCTCTCCACAGCGGCCACCTCCCCCCGG